CCCCCCCAAAGTTTGTGGTTTTTTACTTCGCGGTTCTCGGTTATTCGCGGATGACACCTTGGATGTATCTAAGAAAGTCTGTGGGTAGTTTTAAAGTTGCCGTCATTTTCGCGGCTGGGACAGGGAGCCATTCGTTCTAGAGACAGTAATTTCCTTTACCTGTATTGTAAATATTTGTGTGTGTAGACACACACACAAATACTATACTACAGGTAAAAGAAATAATTGTCTTAAGGGTAAACACCTGAAGGTAATACGTATACATTTCTTTGTACACAAGAAAAAAAAATTACCCACCGGTGCTTGACAACTGCCACTGTTGGGGAGGGGGGTGTACAGACTGTAAAAATCTTCTTGGGCTTAAGCCCAGTTTACAGTGTGATGTAATCTTAATTGTCTGCTTGATAATAATGATGATCATCTTTATTGCCACTCTGAGTGACAGACTTATTATTTTAAGAAAATCACTTAGCTGCCTGGCGGGCTGCATCTCGCTGGCACTCGTTCGTCCAATGTTGCCGTCCAAGATACTGTCACTTTGAACACTGCATCTTGCTATGAATGGTGGATTATATGCACAGTCACAGTCCTTTGGAACACAGAAGAAAAATATTAAAACTATCCTTGTGGCGGCAACAATGCCTTCTGGACAGTTCGGCCGGTTCACTTTATTCTCTATTCCAGTTCTCATCAACGAAATTATCTCTGTGCTATAACTATGTACACTGTGTCTCCTTATGAATGGTGATCGTAATCAGTAACAGTCTGGTGGAAAACACACACACAAAAGACAAACTTTCTTTGTAGCACCAAATACCATGTCTTGGCTACTCTCAGGCACTGGTGCCTGATTGCTCGTCCCAATTTTGATTTGTTTCACTTCAATTTATTTTCAATCCACCGCGGTCACTGCTGTCATTATGGACTGTCTTCGCTAAAGGCACAGTACTGCACTCGCTGATCGACCTTTGGACGGTCAGTCACAACCATGAACGCAACTCATAAATTTTTCTGGATAAACTTTGTCATGTGGCAATGATTTTATGGTTGTATACCTCCCGGCCTATTCCTCTGGTGAGTACGTAGTGTGTTATTAAATATACAATGGGGAATGACGTTAAAAATCCTGCATCGATTTACACATTCACATCACTAAGACAATCTCGATGTTCAACAACGAAGGCCCAAGTGCCAACACTCTTTGTCACAGAGACGCAACACGACACGACCCGACCCGCACATTTTTCAAAGTTAGTTTTCTACACTTGGGATAAAAAATAGTTGTTCAGATTTCGTACAAAAGAGCTACTTTTCATGCTGATTAAGGACCTGGGTTCACAATAAAAAAAAATTAATTAATGACCTTTGAAATATTTAGATATTTAAAATTTCAATTACGCTGTGCCCGTAAGTTTTAAATCACCTTTACATACATTTTTTTTAAATATAGACTATCAAGGTGTCTACTGGTCTGGAAAACCTGGAAAGGCCTGGGAATTTTACGAATAAACCTGGAATTTTATGCATATTTAGTTCAACTTTACAATATTGTGTTTTTGACATCAATCTGACCATAAATTAATGAAGTACTTTATAATAGGTAAATAATTAAACTTTTGGGAACAAATTCCAGTAATAGACCACTCCAATAACTGAATTATTTGTGTGCTTACAGTATCATATTTCATGTTAGTGATCAAATAACCAAATATTACAGGTTATACCAAATGATTTTGTAATGAGTATTGTCAGAGATGAATTGTTCTTATAGTTAAGTGACTTTATTTAAGTGGATTATTCCACATATTAATCATGAATCATAGGTGGATGAGGAGTGTGATTTTTGGGGTTTTGCCAGATTTCCGACTTTTTTGGAATCTCTAATTCAACCCACTTGAATCGCACAAATCCAAAGGAGAAAAATATGGAGGGGGGTGTCAAGGTTTTTGCCGATGTTCATCACTAGGCTTAGGGTGGGTCGTGAAAGGATCTTCAATTTCTTGATTAATATAATTTATATCTTTAAATTTCCCAATAGTATATACTGTACATATTATTGAAAACCTCTAATTTTGTTAGTCATAATAAATACTTAATTAATGTACCTGGAATTTTTCAAATTTACACCTGGGAAATCTGGAAAATCCATGGAATTATGATTTGTCTGGCCAGTAGACACCCTGTAATATGGTAAATAAACTAACTTTTCATGGTATATTAACATTTGAAGAGACAAAATTATGACTTGGTTATTTTACCATTGTTTCTTAACATTACTGAAGAAAGAATCCCCATTTGTAGGTGACATGTTGCATCATCTTCCTGAGGCAGTGGACCAGAAGGTATGACACTGTAGACACTGGGAAGAATACTTTACTACCATCACCAAGTGGCATCATCAACATACCCAGGCAACTGAAGTTAACCTGAGATGGACACAAACTTCACCTGCTGCTGTATGGTAAGTCCATTGTTATTAATAGCTAAACTCTTAATAGAACATATCTGTACTCAAGGCCATAACCAGGGTGTAAGACAGTACAGTAGGTCCTGTTCAGAGCTAAGAAGGTGGATGGATATTGACAAGGTTTTGCATAGAGGTAGGTAGATATGGTTTAGGTATATGGAGCGGAGGGTGGAAACCAGACTACTGAAAGCACGTTGTAGCCTATTGTAAGTTGGTGAGCTTCATCTGCTGAAGGCACTGCACAGCTTTTCATTAATAATTGGTACATATTTTACGTTTCCATTGTTTACTGGCAGTAAATGGTAAATATTTTTCATGTCTGAAGCTCAAAGTTAATCCACGCCCATCCCATCATGCACGGATTCAACCTAACAAAACTATTACCCATGTAAAGGTCGACCCCCAATTTTTTGCCTAAAAATTTGGTCTTAAACACTCGAACTACACACGAGTATATACGGTACTATACATTTATCTCAAGGAAGTATTATGTAACATTTAGTATCATCTGGATTACTACAATAGCATGGTGGTAATAAGAACATCTCATAATGTTACCACGGTTATCACATTAATATTTATTCATTTATTTATTTTTGTTTATATATATATATATAAATTACAGTGGAATTGAAAAACATAAATATAATGGGGGAGCAGTACAACATGGGTTGTACAGTAATAAGGTTGAACAAAAGGACAGAGCTGTCAGGATTATCTCTAGTTGGCAAATATGTTTATTGCAATGGTAATTACTTATTTATTTACATGATAATTTCCAATAAAACGGTTTTGATGGTACAATGAAAGCAGGTACTGTAAATATAATAGGTGTTACAAGAAATATTAATACTTCGATAATAGATATTTTTTAAGAGATGATTTAAAGGAAGGGAGCTTAGTCTTTGCTCGGATGGGTGGGGGTAAGTTGTTCCACACCTTCACACCATGATATTTTATGGAGGTCTGGGACTGAGAGGAGTGCATGGGGGTGGTCTTAGTACAGTAGCTCTGGGTGCCTTAAGTTGTATCTCTGATTATTCTGGAACTGGAAATAATTATTGTCAAGCAAGTGAATTGATAGATTTGTAAACAAAGAGGGCACAGCAGTAGGTGTTAATATCTTCAAATTTTAAAATTTTCCATGTAGTAAATTTTTCGTTTGTGATGGGTTTTTTTCAAGTAGGTCATCGTCCGTACAACTCTCTTTTGTGAAGTAACCAGAGATTGTGTTTTTGAAGAGCTAGAGGCCCCCCATAGTGTGTGACAGTGTATCAGGTGTTGGTAAACATGATCATGATAGATTTCTTTCATTGCTGTGAGAGTGAGCGACTGTCGAGTGTGATACTTGATACAGCACTGTTTATTGATTTTACTGTGAATGGCTTGTATGTGGTTTCTCCAGCTAAGTTTCTCATCAACAATAACTCCCAGGAATCTAGTATTTTGTTCACGTTTGAGGACTATATTACCAAGGTACAGGGGGTCCAGGTCTGGGGGTAAGTTTTCCTTCTGTGTAAGATCGTGTAGTGGGTTTTCTCAAAGTTTAAGGTCAGTTTATTACGTATTACCCAGGTCTCGACTTTAGTTTATTCAGTGTTCATAGTTCTCATCAAGGAATGGAGGTCTGAGTTGCTGGCATAGAGATTACTATCGTCTGCAAATAAGTTGTATTTTATGAGTGAGCTGGCGTGGACTATGTCGTTTATGTACAACAAAAACAGTACTGGACCGAGAATGGAACTTTGGGGGACTCCATACAAGATTGGTGGTTATTATAGCAGACATACTGCATCCTGTTGGACAGATGTTAATTAAGTTCACTCAGATCAGACTGGACCACTTAAGTCGTACTTTACCATTCATAAAATAGATCTTCAATTACTTATTACATCATTAAACACTCATGATATGACGAAATTGTCAATACATATGATTACATAACACCCTCGACAAAATCCAAAATTAAGATAGTATCAAACACATCTTGTTAGTTCGGAATGAACATCATGACACTTTAACTAGCATTCAAAGATAGCACACCTGGTTGGTGGACTCAACTCCGATAACAACAGTACCACTGGTAACACCAACATTCATGGGTTCAATACTTAACCTGGGATAACTATATTTGTGCTCGTTAATCCCCAATCGTAGATACAATAATAATACTTTGGCCTATATAACTGTAAGGAGTGCCCCATGGTGTAACAACAAACGAAGAACGCTGTTAAGGTCGGTTGCAGTCCGACACACAGCGAGGGAGTTTGGGCCTAGTAACCAGGGTGCGGACCCACACAGTTTAATCCTGCCGAATTAACGACATAGTCCAATACAGCCAGCTGGTATGCAGCTACCGATCCCTGGTAGCTGCTGGGTATTCAGCTAACACACACACTGTGCATGCGATAATGATGAAGAAGCGTCAGAGAAGTTAATAATAATAACTCAATCACAAACAATCTTTTGTCGAGCAACGACAGACAACATTTACGTTATATTAATTCTTTCACTGGGTAAATGAAGATTTCACTGTTACAACATGATCGTTGATATTCACAAAATTTACTGAGTTAAACTGACTCAATATGGTGGGCGGAGAATCGTACACATACCCGAGATAATGACGGAGAAGCGTCAGAGAAGTGACGCTCTCAGAAGCTGCAGCTGGCGCCTCCTCCCGGGTGGGGGGTAGAGCTGGTGGAGGGTGCACTGCTGCCCCCCCTGGCCCTGTGTCGGCACACTTGCTTTCACTACCCTCCCCCTGAATATAACCCGCGTACAGTATACCTGTCCCCGTTCTTCCTTGACTCCTCCCTCTTCTGCTTCAAGTCCTGCAGTTGCTTCTTATGCTGTTCCCTCTGCATTATCGTGGGATCTGGGTGAATGAATACATCCCGAAATGCCTTGCTCCTTGCTAAGTTTTTTGCCTGCCAAATAACCTGCCATTTCTCTTCCCCACTCGCTACTGTGATCCTGAGGGGGCGAGGCTTATCCCCCTGCTTTTGTCCCAGCCTCCTCACATCCTGAGGGTTGATGTTATCTTCAGAACCTCTGTACAAATATTTTGAAACTATCTTATCGTGTTACCTTACTCACAGTTCCCTCCGCCTGGCTCTCTGGGACTTCAAAAACTATTACATTGTTCCTGCGCTGGAAACGTTCCTATTGTTCCTCCTCTTCCCTAACAGTATGTCCGTTAATTTTAATTTCTTTGACACACTTCTTCAGAGTCCCTAGCTGCTGTAGAACCTGTTCTGATCCTGCATTACTCTCCGCCCCCTCCCGTGGCCCTGCTAATAAGTCAGCATAACTCCTCTTAACAGCCACCTCCATTCTATTGGCTACTTCCTCAGTCTCAGCAAGGATCTCTTTCCCAACTTGCTCTAGTTTGGCAACCAGCAGGGCTCCAGCTTCATCTATTTTCGTCCCTAGAGAACTCGTTCCCTTATGGTTTGCAGTTGCCTCATTCACCTTGACTGTGCAGTCAGGGCAATACCAGCAACAGCCTTCATGCTTTACAGCAGCTTGCATCGTCCTAAATGTTGCATTAGTCAGGCCTGTATCATCCATATCTGTTATCCCCGCATTAATCTCATATCATACTCATGGTTGTTGTTGTTGGGGGGTGGGGGGGGGGTGCAGACTGTGTATAGATCTACATTTATTTAAGAATAAAGAAAAAAAACAGTACTTAGCTGCCCTCTGCTGGTTTTATCCTCCCCTGTTGCCTTTAGGGTTGTCTTCTCTTATTTTTTTTCAGTTCACTTCTGCAATTTGTCAGTATTTACGTGCTATCTCTATGTACACTGCATTGTGCTATGACTAATGGATTTTATACACCCTTTCAGTCCTTAAGAAACCCAGAAAAATAAAATAAATCTTTCTTTGGGGCAGTAATAGACTGCCTTTTAGGATGGCCAAACTTGTTGTTTTTATTTTTATTTTTTTATTTTTACTATTATGTCCTAATACTACATTACTTTCTTTTCCCGTTCTCGTCTATATCTCTTGGTGCTATCACTGTGTACACTGTATCTCCCTGTGAATGGTGTATTGTAGGCACAGTTTCAGTCCGTGAGAAAACACACAAACAAAATTTTTGACCAAATATACTTTTCTCTCAGAATTGGAATTTAAGAGGTTTAACTAATTAGGTACATCCAGAATAACACACACACACCCAAATCTCACCTTGGAAACCCATAGCTGGCGAGTAATTAACATTGTGAACCTTGGTATTTTTTTCATTACCAGTTGGGACCAGGAGACTTTATGGAGAGATGAGTGATCCAGAGACCATTAGCCTGGTCCAGGGGTCAGCAGTCTGTTGGTCTTAGGACCAGTATTAATCTGGTTTAGGGACCCCCTTTATTTTTCTAAGTTAGTGTAATGTCTGAAATGATTAGCTTAATTATAGGTCAAGGATAAGTTGTCCTAATTTATTTAGTATGGATCAGGAAGCTAATTCTAGGACTGTAGTTAGCCTGATTAAAACAGCACAGCTTGTTACCTCAAAATACCATGTGCATTGGGTATGTGTGGCCTCCCTCACAGGTTCACTGTCAAATCTCTCATCTGGAAGTTTTTGACCAGAGAACTGGAAGAGAATTCTCTCTGGAAGAAAGAACTTCAGATGACCCTTACCTCTTAGCTCAGAGATCAGGTTATTTTGCTAGGAGGTGCCTTTTGCTTGGACCAGCATTAGTTGTGCAGAGAGGTGCTGGTAGCCTATGGGATGGTCGTGCACCAACTAGTGTTTAATAAAGTCATCATACAAGTTTATATTTGTTCATCATGTACTACAAATACACAATGTAAGTCCACTAAACCAAGGATAATTTAGGAAGGACATCCAAAGATTATTTCCATTAAAGTATGGGATAAATAAATCGTTAGTCATTAAAATTACCATCCAAGTTCACATTGGCTCTTGTGTTGTGAAGGTGTAAATATTAACTAACTCCTTGTAATTCTGCACTAATACACTTGTCACATACATACATACACACCATTGTTAAGTATTTTATCTAAGTGCCATACATATGGTGTATCTTGATATTTCTGTAATAAGTTGTACTTGACACAGGAGGAGACGTCTGGTCATGCAGCAACACAGCACAGCACCTTATATCACGGCTCCTGTACAGAAGAAAACTTATCTACTGATTCTTGGCAGATTATGTTACCATTTGAGGTGAACTGAAGCCTTGATGTAATAGTGATTGAAGACTACAGTACAGGAGGAGAGAGTGTTATCTGGCATTGGTATTAAAATAGTTAGCAACTGTGTGTTAGTAACTTACAGGGTTCAGTTTAACACAGATAGGCTCATCATATATTTTAATAAAGTACAGGTATCCCCCAAGATACTTACAGTATGTCCAATAAATGAACAATCATTATTACAAAAATATCAGTTTGACTTAACAAATTCCCCTCAGTCACACGGTCAGTATAGCCCAGTGGTGCATTGGCACTATTGCAGAATGTATTTATTATTTTACAAGAATTATATTGGTGAAAAACCCACCAGTTGACTGATTTTTCCCTCCCAGAACATAATACAAGAGTTCTACCATTCAATATGTTTTTTAACTTAGAACCCTTAGTGCTATACAGTATGTTAGAGGATACCTACTTTTTTTTTTCTTCACCTTTCTAGTTTTTTGTTTCACTTCAGTTAATTAAATTATTATTATTAAAGTAGTTTTGAAGAAGATTACAGGGGGCCCCCAATTTACGAACAGGTTCCGTTCCTTATGACATTCTTTTTCGGATTTGTACTTAAGTCGGAACACGCGCCATGAGCATACCATACTTACAGAACAATGTTTAAAATCACACTATATCACAGCCTAAGTCCTTATATACATCTAAAATCAATTAATTTAAGACAAAAGAGAAATAGATTGACAATACAGTAAATGAAAGTAAAAAATATCATTTGATGATATATTGTAAATTTCATGTTTAACACCGTTCATATCGGCGGGGACTCCCTGTACTTTCTACAAGTTTTAATTTTTACATAGTAACAGTGCAGGACTTTGTCTTGAGTAATATTTTCATATACTTTCTCCCCCACTGGCTAAAATGGACCTGAATTGAGCTGGACCTGCAGTGAACTAGACCTGAAGTGAACTGGACCGTAATTACTATCTGGTATTTTACTTAATATTTTCTGGTACTTTTAATATTAGAAAGGTTCTACAGATATCCCTCAGTTTTTAAAAGTTTTGTTCCTGAGAAACCTTTAGTAAATCACATCAATACTTCCATAGACTCCCATTATAAAAGCCAAGATACTTTTCTGCTATGAAAATACTTCCCCCAAATGATGTACTGTACGCAATGATTATAAGCCACTATAGGAGGAGCTCTACTGATGAATGAGTTATGTTCTGGAGGTTTGTTTGTGAGTCCAACTTTACTCATGTAGATGTACAGTACAGTGGCCTGTAAGTTGACCTTTGAAGCTCCAATTTGTTTTCTTAAAACTAAGAGTCGTCTTATACAAGGGTATACAATGTCGATCTCTAAGTACACTCCACCACTAGCACCAGATTTTCACTTTGCTGTACCGGCAGGTCTCGGTCACATAATTTCCAGCACTCGTAAATAAGTTTTACCTAACTGTAGCATTTTTCCAGAAGAGTAAATGTTACTGAACTCCGCTTAAGTTTAGTGTTTACACTAGTCACATTATGGGTGTCCCTACACACACCGACACCTTTCAAAATATCTTTCGGTGTTAACTGCGATTTTTTACAAACAAATGTTACTGGGGCAATAACTTGGAATATTTGTTGTTAAATTTAAAAAAAAAATGCAGTTATTGTATATTGATATAATGCTCCAGGATTTTATAAATGTTTACATGAATGTGGTGTAAAGTTGTTAACAAGACAGGCACCTGGGAGCAACTGGCTGGCCTGCAGCAGCTCGGTCAGTGAATGTCACTAGATTTATCGGCAAAGTTGCTAAATACAAAAAAAAATCTGGAGAAATACCATTACATATAAGACGTTATCTAACACGAGAATTGTTAACAATGGCTTTGATAAATGCAAAAAAAACTGTCACAGGTGGCATTAAAGGTAGACGGCATAAACAACGCTAAACTGGCAACTAGGTCAACATATGAATGACCACTATCTCTGTTGTACAGTAGTCAGTATACTGCACATTATGTTCACATAGACTCAAGTGCTAAGTACCATAGAATGTTGATGCACAACTGGCACATAATTAATGGTCACTTTCCTATCTGTATACAACTGTTAGTACAGTGTATTTCCATATAGATATTCAGTGAAAAAATAATTGATGGGTCTTATCCCACAAAGGGTAGGTTAAGACAATATGAAACTCATCTTAATTGTGAAGTTAAACAGATTATAAGGATCATCAGTTCATTTTCCTTCAGAATTATCAGTGAAAATTATTTTTGGATCACCTCTCTGGCTTATTTAACCTTAAGATTAACCACCCTAACCTTACCTAACTTACTTAGTGTTAAGGTGCTTAATCAGGTGATATTAATTGGGAGCTATCTTCATGTGATCTTTGGTTTCTCTATCAAGCTCCTCAGATCAGCCATCACACCAGACCAGGACCAGGACCTGTACGAGAGAAGGAATACTGTGGTCTACCTTGCAGTGTGTTATTGAGTTAGTTACTTTACAGTAGAAGTAAGTGGCCACACCAGTACTTAACAGATTATTTAACTATGTTGAGTTTTGGTGTTGCTGTGTTATTTGAACCATTCTATAGATTTGTAAACTGACTAATGACTTTAGACCGTGTTTAAGATTAGGTTTCTAACAGTTAAAACTGTGGTTAAGTTGTGTGGAAGTGAGACAATGACTAATTACCTTCATGAGATTTAGAGTATAGTTTAATTTTTATACAAGAAGTTGGAGGTCAATACTGTAGGCGTAATATTTTTTAGGGATTAAAATTCTTCCTTTTCCGCGGATCATTTACAGTGAAAGGTACAGTACAGAGTGAGAGAAGGCTGGTTGTATATTAAGGTTGAGAGAGGAAAGGCTGTACTGTACTAAGTTAATGGATAGGGAAGACTGCCGGACGTATGACTGACGAGTATTACAGTAAAGGAGGGAAAGTTGTTGAGTGTATGACTTAAGATAATACAGTACTGAAGTTGTATGAGCAAGAGAAAAGGCTGGTGATGTATAATTGAGGGAAACTTGACTAGAATGTAAGATTTACTGTACTGAAGCAGATAAAGAGTGAGGGAGGACTGTAGAATAGACTGAAGTTTTATACAAGTGAAGGAAGGATTTGTATTACTTAATCTGCACTGGATTTCTTTCTTTCTTTCGTTTCTTCCACATCCTAGGTTAGGTTTTATTTCATCAGAGCCAACCATAAAGAGAGTCGTCTATTAACTGCAGCTGACCCCACCATAGTTTCATCTATCAACTGCAGCTGACCCCAACATGAAGGACATTTCATCTATCAACTGGAATCAACTGCATCTGAACCCCTTTCCCCTACCCCTTTAGAGCGGGGGTCAGAAGTCTCTTCTGGGAAGTACCTTACTCTCGGAGCATTATAACTCTGGGTTTATGGCTCGGACATTTCTGTATCTGGGATAAGGAGCTTCCTGGAGGAGGCGACTGGCCCTAGGAGCAGCAATTGCTGTATCTAGGTGTCAGCGTTAGGCTGCTTAGGTTCCCTTTTTTTTAAGGATCTTCAGGCGAGCCTCTTCAAGGATACACTGAATCCTAGGACAAGGAGAGCCGGTCCTGAAGCAGATTGGTACCATTTTTTTTATCCTTTTGAGCTGGGGTCAGGGGGCTTCTTCCTAGAGGTGATTGGCTTTTGGACCAGCATGCTTGTTTGTCCAGTGGTTCCAGGAGTCAGGATCCTCTTGGGGGAGAACCTTGGCCCTCGGACCTGGCGGGAGCCAGGTTCAGGGACTCCCCTTTTTTTCTCATCTTAGGCTCTGTCTAAGGTGTCCTCTCAGTTCATAGTGGCTGGGGCACTGAAAACAGTTTACCTCACCTTATGAATCTGTGAAGGGCACCTAAGACTTCTTTCACAGGAGCTGTTTTATCTCCTGTCTTAGAAATCCATTGATTTCTAAGATCAGAGATAAAAACACACTAGTGTGAAAGAAGTCTTAGGTGTTCTTCACTGATTCATAAGGTGAGATGAACTGTTTTCAGTGCCCCAGTCACTAGGAACCTAGGGAGGTCACCCTAAGGCCAAGCCTAATTCCAAGATGAGGGACTGTGTCCCTCAGCCTTAGGGGGGTGGGGACTCCTCCCCTTTGGAGGGGGGGGGGGGACTCCTCCCCCTTGGAGGGGAGGAACCACCCTCCCCCTGGAAGGGGTCTCCTCATCCCCCTGGAGGTGGGGGGGGAGGACCTCCCCCACACAAATTATTTTGTAAAGTGGTTTTAAATAAAACTTTAAAATTTCAATATAACTTTTATTTATACTTCCAGTACATTCCATGATTACCTGGGAGGGGGTTCCCACCCCAGCTGAGGGACATAGTCCCTCATCTTGGAATTAGGCTTGGCCTTAGGGTGACCTCCCAAGGTTCCTAGTGACTGGGGCACTGAAAACAGTTCATCTCACCTTATGAATCAGTGAAGAACACCTAAGACTTCTTTCACACTAGTGTGTTTTTATCTCTGATCTTAGAAATCAATGGATTTCTAAGACAGGAGATAAAACAGCTCCTGTGAAAGAAGTCTTAGGTGCCCTTCACAGATTCATAAGGTGAGGTAAACTGTTTTCAGTGCCCCAGCCACTATGAACTGAGAGGACACCTTAGACAGAGCCTAAGATGAGAAAAAAAGGGGAGTCCCTGAACCTGGCTCACGCCAGA